CTGCTCAGGTGGACGTTTCGTATGTCCACAATATTTTTTCCTGCTCAGGTGGACGTTTCGTATGTCCACAATATTTTTTCCTGCTCAGGTGGACGTTTCGTATGTCCACAATATTTTTTCCTGCTCAGGTGGACGTTTCGTATGTCCACAATATTTTTTCCTGCTCAGGTGGACGTTTCGTATGTCCACAATATTTTTTCCTGCTCAGGTGGACGTTTCGTATGTCCACAATATTTTTTCCTGCTCAGGTGGACGTTTCGTATGTCCACAATATTTTTTCCTGCTCAGGTGGACGTTTCGTATGTCCACAATATTTTTTCCTGCTCAGGTGGACGTTTCGTNCGTTATCATTCATACAGCGTTATCATTCATACAGCGTTATCATTCATACAGCGTTATCATACATACGGCGTTATCATTCATACAGCGTTATCATTCATACAGCGTTATCATTCATACAACGTTATCATTCATACAGCGTTATCGTTCATACAGCGTTATCATTCATACAGCGTTACCATTCATACAGCGTTATCACACACACACACAGACTCGATTTTCGGATGCAGCTATAGCGAAGGATGCAGCCAGCTAAGGCTAACTGCAGTAGTTTGACGAATTTTTGATTTTCTACTACTGCCAGAGCCATACTATTTGTGATAAAAATCGCTTATAACATGAATGATGCAATATGTTAGTTTGGAATTAAAAAGCTGAAGAATTACGAGTTATTTACACCGATAAGTTATTTAATGAAACATTTCCTTGGTCCTACATCATCTGGTATAACTTTATTAGTCAATAGCCAGTTAGTGGCGACACGAGTGCTGTATCGTTCTTTTGCTGAGAGATTCATAAGAGAACCGGATATTTTACAGTAGATTTAAACTAACACTATACGTACTCGGTTGTCTTCACTTCCCAAGTTGCAACCATCCAGAGGCAGAAGATTCGGTTGAAGATACACTCGAGATCACCGCCAAAGTTTATTTATTTAAAAAACTTTCGACAAATCTGACGATTGGCTTACTATTATTATTTAAAAAATTATTTGCTTGATGATATCACTCAGGTTCAATGTTTCCCTCATGACCTAAAACGCTCATGTGCCATTAATACAAGCATTAAGCTAACATAAACAAATTTTTATTTTATAATCCAAGAGGGAGATTAAATTATTTTGACTGAGAGCAAAACAAATAAATAATAATTTTCATAATTTTTTTTATCGGAGGTTTTTTTAGTTCTTTCTACACGGAGGGTCGTCAAGTGCAGGCCATTAAGTGAGAACTCTACAAATTAATATTTCATACATATATAATGTAGATATTGACTGCTAGAAGGTATTTGGTTTCACTTGTATACAAACAGTAGCACTAGTTGAATGTTCGTAAGAATTTGATCATTTTACAATACTCAATTGCATTTTTTTTGGCATATAATTACCTTATCCTACCTAATATTGCCCGGTCAATTAGTTCGTTTATTAGTTTTTAACCATCGAAAAGTATTCATAAACTGCATTTGAAAAGAAAAATGCAATGGACAATTATAAGGAGTTGTATAATGGATAACAATCATCTGTTTACCCTCGCAAATTATTAGGAGTTGTATAGAGGAGAACAATCATCTGTTTTACCCTCGCAAGTTATTAGGAGTTGTATAGATGAGAACAATCATCTGTTTTACCCTCGCAAATTATTAGGAGTTGTATAGAGGAGAACAATCATCTGTTTTACCCTCGCAAGTTATTAGGAGTTGTTTAGAGGAGAACAATCATCTGTTTTACCTTCATAAGTTATTAGGAGTTGTATAGAGGGGAACAATCATCTGTTTTACCCTCGCAAGTTATTAGGAGTTGTATAGAGGAGAACAATCATCTGTTTTACCCACGCAAATTATTAGGAGTTGTATAGAGGAGAACAATCATCTGTTTTACCCTCGCAAGTTATTAGGAGTTGTATAGAGGGGAACAATCATCTGTTTTACCCTCGCAAGTTATTAGGAGTTGTATAGAGGCTGTCTCTTATACACATCTAGATGTGTATAAGAGACAGGAGTTGTATAGAGGGGAACAATCATCTGTTTTACCCTCGCAAATGATTAGGAGTTGTATAGAGGAGAACAATCATCTGTTTTACCCTCGCAAATTATTAGGAGTTGTGTAGAGGAGAACAATCATCTGTTTTAACCTCGTAAGTTTTGAAAGAATCAGCAACAGCAGCACAATTGTGTGGCTAAAGTAAGAAACGCTATCCCTGGTGAGTAAAATTCAGGTTGATTTTATCAGCTGGGGAGTACATCTGCGTATATATATGTATATACATATATATGGTACATCTTCGTAATTTTTTACTTAATAATTCAAGTGTAATTAGTAAATATTTTCTTAAAAATTAATAAATCTATACTAGCAGACAAACAGCTTCACTTAATTATGGTCGGTATTAATTATTTATTCATGTGCCGTTGAGACCTTTATAATTTTAAGCAACATTTATTACGCTTTTCCATATTTATTATATATATTATTCAAGGACTACTACACACAGGACATGCATAGCCTAAGAGTTGTATAGAGGAGAACAATCATCTGTTTTACCCTCGCAAGTTATTAGGAGTTGTATAGATGAGAACAATCATCTGTTTTACCCTCGCAAATTATTAGGAGTTGTATAGAGGAGAACAATCATCTGTTTTACCCTCGCAAGTTATTAGGAGTTGTTTAGAGGAGAACAATCATCTGTTTTACCTTCATAAGTTATTAGGAGTTGTATAGAGGGGAACAATCATCTGTTTTACCCTCGCAAGTTATTAGGAGTTGTATAGAGGAGAACAATCATCTGTTTTACCCACGCAAATTATTAGGAGTTGTATAGAGGAGAACAATCATCTGTTTTACCCTCGCAAGTTATTAGGAGTTGTATAGAGGGGAACAATCATCTGTTTTACCCTCGCAAGTTATTAGGAGTTGTATAGAGAACAATCATCTGTTTTACCCTCGCAAGTTATTAGGAGTTGTATAGAGGAGAACAATCATCTGTTTTACCCTCGCAAATTATTAGGAGTTGTATAGAGGGGAACAATCATCTGTTTTACCTTCATAAGTTATTAGGAGTTGTATTGAGGGGAACAATCATCTGTTTTACCCTCGCAAATTATTAGGAGTTGTATAGAGGGGAACAATCATCTGTTTTACCTTCATAAGTTATTAGGAGTTGCATAGAGGGGAACAATCATCTGTTTTACCCTCGCAAATGATTAGGAGTTGTATAGAGGGGAACAATCATCTGTTTTACCCTCGCAAATGATTAGGAGTTGTATAGAGGGGAACAATCATCTGTTTTACCCTCGCAAATGATTAGGAGTTGTATAGAGGGGAACAATCATCTGTTTTACCCTCGCAAATGATTAGGAGTTGTATAGAGGGGAACAATCATCTGTTTTACCCTCGCAAATGATTAGGAGTTGTATAGAGGGGAACAATCATCTGTTTTACCCTCGCAAATGATTAGGAGTTGTATAGAGGGGAACAATCATCTGTTTTACCCTCGCAAATGATTAGGAGTTGTATAGAGGGGAACAATCATCTGTTTTACCCTCGCAAATGATTAGGAGTTGTATAGAGGGGAACAATCATCTGTTTTACCCTCGCAAATGATTAGGAGTTGTATAGAGGGGAACAATCATCTGTTTTACCCTCGCAAATGATTAGGAGTTGTATAGAGGGGAACAATCATCTGTTTTACCCTCGCAAATGATTAGGAGTTGTATAGAGGGGAACAATCATCTGTTTTACCCTCGCAAATGATTAGGAGTTGTATAGAGGGGAACAATCATCTGTTTTACCCTCGCAAATGATTAGGAGTTGTATAGAGGGGAACAATCATCTGTTTTACCCTCGCAAATGATTAGGAGTTGTATAGAGGGGAACAATCATCTGTTTTACCCTCGCAAATGATTAGGAGTTGTATAGAGGGGNTATCGAGACAGCGCTTTCTGTCTCTTTTAACGAGTAAATTGGCTTCCATTTAGTATTCGCTATTGCCTTTTTGAGTTGATAAACTTCAAAAGTAATTTCCTTCATTTGCAGTATGTGTGCTTCGGCCTGCACTCGTATTTTCATAACACTTCACTAAGTGCTTGCTTGGATGCCCAAAATGTAACTTCGCGCTCAGTAGGCCGAGCACGCTGAGTGAATTTATTGAACAGTGAACGTGTTAAAGCTGGAGTTGTAGCAGCCTGAATTTAAGTCAAATCATTTAATTCTGTGCTACGGCTTAAATGATCGGGAGGGCTTAAACCACTGCAGGCGCTGCTGCATCACCGCATTAAGGCTGCCCCAATGTCGTAGTCTCCTGCCGTACGACATTAAGCCGCTCGAGAGCATGACGGCGCACAGCTCTGATTTGCAGGCAAGTTCGAGCAGAGTTTCATTGGGTACTGTAAGTATATAGCTACGTGAACATCTATATTTTACCCCAATTCTAGTAGTATATTGTCGTCTCGCTTCCATGTTATATTTCGCGTGTTAGCATATCAACCACATGTACTAGCGACCGTCTTGCTTTAAGAAGAGAACATCTAGGCTCTGAGATAAGACCGTCTCTGCTATATAAAGAGAACACCCCTGCCTTGAAAAAAACCCGTCTCTGTTCTAAGATGGGATCGTCTCTGTCATGACAAGGAGACCGTCTCTGTCATGACAAGGAGACCGTCTCTGCCATGACAAGGAGACCGTCTCTGCAATGAAAAAGAGACCATCTCTACTCTGACAAGGAACAAACGGCCATCTCTGCTCTAACCAAAGACCGTCTCCGCTTGGAGTAGAAGGCATGTTTACGAGAGTTTCACCCGTCGTTTACGCAACGCACCCGTGCCTGTCTTGAGCAGAACACGTACCTTCCATGAGGAGAGGTGGCCTCTGACATGCGATGATATTGTCTCTGCCGTAAGATGAGACCATCTCTGCCGTAAGATGAGACCATCTCTGCCGTAAGATGAGACCATCACAGACGGACTTTCCTGCTCAGATGAACTTTCCTGCTCAGACGGACTTTCCTGCTCAGATATACTTTCCTGCTCAGATGAACTTCCCTGCTCAGACGGACTTTCCTGCACAGACGGACTTTCCTGCTCAGATGAACTTTCCTGCTCAGACGGACTTTCCTGCTCAGATATACTTTCCTGCTCAGACGGACTTTCCAGCTCAGATGAACTTTCCTGCTCAGACGGTCTTTCCTGCTCAGACGGACTTTCCTGCTCAGACGGACTTTCCTGCTCAGACGGACTTTCCTGCTCAGTCGGACTTTCCTGCTCAGACTGACTTTCCTGCTCAGACGGACTTTTCTGCTCAGACGGACTTTACAGCTCAGGCGGACTTTCCTGCTCAGATGGACTTTCCTGCTCAGGCGGACTTTCCTGCTCAGATGATCTTTCCTGCTCAGATGAACTTTCCTGCTCAGACGGACTTTTCTGCTCAGACGGACTTTCCTGCTCAGATGGACTTTCCTGCTCAGATGGACTTTCCTGCTCAGATGGACTTACCTGTTCAGAAGGACTTTCCTGATCAGACGGACTTTCCTGCTCAGATGAACTTTCCTGCTCAGATAGACTTTCCTGCTCAGATGAACTTTCCTGCTCAGATGAACTTTCCTGCTCAGATGAACTTTCCTGCTCAGATGAACTTTCCTGCTCGGACGGACTTTCCTGCTCAGAAGGACTTTCCTGATCAGATGAATTTTCCTACTCAGATAGACTTTTCTGCTCAGATGGACTTTCCTGCTCAGATGGACTTTCCTGATCAGACGGACTTTCCTGCTCAGATGGACTTTCCTGATCAGACGGACTTTCCTGCTCAGATGAACTTTCCTGCTCAGATGAACTTTCCTGCTCAGATGGACTTTCCTGCTCAGGTGGATGTTCCGTAAGACCATAATTTTGTTTTCATGCTCAGGTGGACTCAAATACAAAGAATATAATAGAAATTCGGGAGCACCAAGAGAACATTAACGAATTCTCATGCTAAATACTCATGACAATGATAATTGTTGATGTTTATATCTATTATACAATTGAGAAAGATCATTTGTCTGTGCATATTTGCGCTAGGGGTTGAGCGCTGGAAGTGTATGAGAATTTAGATAGAGTGTGGTGACAAACACGAATAAAAAATAGTATGTGCATAAGCAACATCGTTAGATATTGCAAATTTGATAAAAAAATGCAAATTGATTGAGGTAAATAAATTGCAATTCGTTTCGATTTAGTAAATATTCACTTTACTCAAAAATATAAGAAAATAATAGAATGATTACCTCAAAATTACAAAACAGCAATTTAAGGAAAGTTCAGCGATAAATATGGCTTTGATGCTGCCTTCCATCAGCTAACGTTACATGCCTTGAAAATAATTAGGATTACAAATAACACTGTTATCAAATCTCCATGATTATCTATCCATTGCATCGCCGGGAGGAAGCTTCACGTTTTTTATTATATGAGAGAATGAAAATAATTATTCATATAACCGCTGATCGTTCTCAAAGGAAATTCACGAACATAATAAGAGCAAAAATGTTCAAATTTATGATTGGCGAATAGAATTGCAAGACTAATATATACTCGATTACAACAAGATCGCTCATCCACGATCTTGCCATTACGCCCCAGGAAGCGCTTCATTATCAAATTTTTCTCATTGAATGTATCATTATTTCAAATCATGCATCGAAACTCTCTTAAGATGTACAACTGAAAAAATCCTATGAGGGAATTTCACAAATTTGAATATTATTGACGAATTGGTAAACTTCATCTTCACCTCCGAAAAAATCTTTTGCATCATATCAGCATACAACTGAAATGAATGCAAAATACGCAATACACATATTTTAATGCATCGCGATCATTTTAGATGCAGGCAACCATGTTCCACTCGGAATGCTGATCAGCAACACGTCGCACTACCTCAGAGTTTGGTGAGAATCAAATAACTGAAGAGACCCAGGAAATTAAAGCCGCTCTCAACGGTGGCTCAGTCGGGCTTAATCAATGTAAGTGACTCCCTGGTCTGCATTAGCCTCTCCTAAGCCGCAATCAGCCTCTCATCAGCCTGCATGAGGCGCCGTGCGCGGCGTATGTTTACCCCGCGGCTGCCTGAGCCACGGCAGCCTGCATCAGGCGCCGTGCAAGGCGTATGTTTACCCCCGCGGCTGCCTGAGCCACGGCAGCCTGCATCAGGCGCCGTGCGTGGCGTATGTTTACCCCCGCGGCTGCCACGTGCGCAGGACGAGCTCATGCATGGCCATGAATTATGACGTTGTCACTTTGTTCAACGTCTCCCATGATATCAATGCAGATTTGTTTGCCGTTACGCTTTTTCAACAAAATGTGTGGAATGCTTTCCTCCCCCAGTCGAAATGCTAAAGTACAAAGTGTGAGTACTAAAGGCTACATTTTTCATACGACGGCAATGCCAAAAATATTATTTAATATGATAGAGAAAATGACAAGTAAGAATATATGAGAAATGTGAAACAATGATTTGTCCTCATTGACAGATCCTCTTTACAGCAGCTTCCTTACAAGACAATGCAAATAAATACTGCACCGAGTTCTCACTTGAGTCCCTTCGTCTCGCAATACGGCGAGATCAAATATTCCTCGGCGGTCTTCTTGAAGGCCTGCGAAAGGTTCGATGCTCGGTCAAAAGCTCGACGCCGTTCCTTGACCACTCGGCTACGACGCTAAGACAAGGCAAACCTTTTTTCATGTGTTTTGATCGTATCGTGTTTGTTGATCGTATCGTGTCTCAGAAAAGTTAGATAGAAAAAAAAATGTAAAACATTAACGACCAGTAGTGAATTATTTCCAATTTGCAGCACTTGTACGACTGCCCAGTCTGTCTACAAATGGAGACGGAGGAGCGATTGTCCAATTCTTGGCCATGATCCTACCACTGTACAGGAGCAGGATCGTGCACTGCACAATATCATTTGTAAAATTCTCTAAATGCAACCGAAAAGAAATCCTAATTGATCAGGACGTTTATCGATAAAAGTTTTTAGTTGGAATTTCATAGAGTTGTATCCTTACCAGTTTTGCTACGCACGGTCCTAGAGGCTTTGGAGAAGTCGTTCCCATTCTACTCCTGATAAAACAAAAGTCAGAACTCATGCTTCTGATGAATTTTTAAAAATATTCACGTATATTGTGGAAAACTAATGCAATCCGCGCGCTTGTGTCTTGTAATTATGATCAGTAAAGTGGCCAGGAGAATCAGCAGACCGGTGTTCGAGACCACGACTTACGAAACAAAGGCCAACAAATGGCCATGCATCGTCTGGCCATTTGTCAAGCGTTAGAGGTACACTTCAGATTGTAAACAAGGCACGTCTTGGCAGGCTTGTCGGTGGCCATTGCCTGGCCTATGGTCAAGTGTTGGAGGCACACCTTAGATTGTAAACAAGACAAGTCTTGGCAGGCTAGTCGGTGGCCTTTGCCTGGCCTACGGTCAAGTGTTAGAGGCACACTGCAGGTTGTAAACAAGGCATGGCGGGATTGTCGGTGGCCATTGCCTGGCCTACGGTCAAGTGTTGGAGGCACACCTTAGATTGTAAACAAGACGCGTCTTAGCAGGCTTCTCGGTGGCCATTGCCTGGCCAACGGTCAAGCGTTAAAGGCACACCCCATAAAGTGAACAAGGCGAGCGCTGTGCAGCAGAACAAGCAGGCGCTGGCCAAACACTGGCGTCTAATTAACAGCTGTGACGCCGTGCTTGCTCTACACACAAGGGGCGGCCGCTGCTCGTAATTACAGTTTGACTTCAAATGTTGTTCAATCAACACATTTTAATCATGAGCTATTCTGTGATTACTGTATGGTATGGTTTTAATTCTGCTGAGTGTTATCTACCTTCACCGAATAATTGTGAAAAAATCTTTTGCACTTTTGTTATGGGTTTAATTTAATACATTAGAACGGAAACATTTTTTTACTCGATTCTCATTTAAACGATAAATAAAGAGCACTGGTATTCGCGAGCGAAATACACATTCAGAAAATTAAACTGCGAGTTCAAAAAAACAAAGGTGGATTTTCTGAGCAGTTCTAATCTGGTCACGATTTTGGAGCAGCTTAACCCAGTTCAAATTTACATGCGCTGGTCTCGGAGAATGTAAAACAGCAAAGCTATGTTCCAGGGGCGAGACGGGGCATTGCAGCGCAGCAGCTCCCCTGTAACAATTGCCTCAGCTGAAGTCATTTGTTGTCAAATAGCTTCGTGATGCGAGTTTTTTTATACGATTCTCCCAAGAGGAACTTTGATTGATGTCAATTTCGGAGAAAGTCTGAAAAATATGCTCAGTTTAGTTTGCATTACATAGACGCAATTCATTTCATTAGAAACAAACTTTTACATGACTTGCGAGCTTGCATCACCGCTTTCAGATGTCACACAGCTGAGTTGCCTACTTATGGATTCCGTCAGTAAGTTTTTTCGCTCTATCTTGGCTCCTAAATTAAATAACAATCTGAAATTTTGACTGCAATTCAAACAACTTACTTCCAATCAGATTACTCTAAAGAATAAATACGTAAGCCTTGAAGTAGAACTATTTCCGTGAAGTTAAATTTCGCAACGGGTGAAACGTACGACTCTTATGCTGTTTTTGAGATGTGCGTGTATATTCTCAGCTGATTTGTATGCGTTCAATCAGACTCCGTGTTTAAAATAAAATGAACTAATCTGAATAGGCCGTGAAACTTCCTTAGATTAACGCCTGAGTGGGTAGCGGGGTTGTCGTTCTTTGAATAATTAATTATTGTGTGGTTACGGTGCCACCAGGAAGGAATTGTAACAAAATAACTCAGTACTCACTGCAGGAGAGACAGAGAGCGCATTTTCTCGCCGACGAAAACGCGAGGTCACGGACGGACAGACGGACATGGCNGTTCAATCAGACTCCGTGTTTAAAATAAAATGAACTAATCTGAATAGGCCGTGAAACTTCCTTAGATTAACGCCTGAGTGGGTAGCGGGGTTGTCGTTCTTTGAATAATTAATTATTGTGTGGTTACGGTGCCACCAGGAAGGAATTGTAACAAAATAACTCAGTACTCACTGCAGGAGAGACAGAGAGCGCATTTTCTCGCCGACGAAAACGCGAGGTCACGGACGGACAGACGGACATGGCGAGCACAATAGTGCATTTTTTTCCATAAATGAGAAACTGCGCTAAAAAGAGAGAGCAATGGAAATTATAGAGGCCATGCGCAGTACTAAAGCTAAGCCCATTAATTATAGAGGCCATGCGCAGTACTAAAGCTAAGCCCATTAATTACAGAGGCCATGCGCATTGTTGAGGCCATGCGCATTGCTGAAGCCATGCGCATTACAGAGGCAATGCGCATTACAGAGGCCAAGCGCAGTACTAAAGCTAAGCTCATTACAGAGGCCGTGCGCGTTACAGAGGCCATGCGCATTACAGAGACCATGCGCATTACAGAGGCCAATCAGGGCTTCAGCGGGTTGTCCGACGTAATTGGGAGGTGAATGACGGTTCTATATTTACAATGGCCATTTCCTTTGAATATTTTTCAAAGTAAAAGACGATAAGTACTTTTTATTTATGTGCATTTTGCCTTTTTTAATTATAATTTTACATATTTTCTGGTTATTTATCTACTGGTTGTTTGCAACTCGGTTTAAATTTTTGTAAGACCATCTCATAATCCGATTAATGGAGACCAAATATTACAGATGGTGTTAATTTATTTAGTGAATATTTAAAATTATCCTATATTTCTAGCACAGAGAATTTTTTTTATGCGTTCAGTGATGTTCAGTGCGTGTCTGAACCATTCGAATTGCAGAGGCCTAAATGCGGAAAATACATAAGAAGAAAAATACATATTAAATGCGAAAAAA